CCAGCCCCAGCGCCCTTCAAACCCCGCTCGTCCACACCCTCCCACTGGGACCCGTTCCCACCCACACCCCCAATCCTGCCTCTCTACTAGTTCTCCCCGTAATTGCTACGGCGTCCGGTTACCAGCTGCTCGCGTCCTCAGCGCCAGCACGGCCGACGCCATGTTTGACCGACACTCGCGTCCAGTTTGGAAGTGTACATCCGCTGCCGGGAGATCTACTTCCGGGTCGTGCGTGGCTGTTGAAAGAGTGGCGGGAGAAGCTGCAGGTGAGCGCTGTGGACCGGGGCCCTGCCCGGGTGAAGGCCGCTGTTTGGAGCAGCGGTGCGCCGGGGCTTGGTGGCCCGGGCGTCCCGGGACTTAGGCACCGGATCGCCGGCCTCCGAAGTGTGGAGCGTGGCTGTCGGCGGTTTGCTTCAGCCTGGCTTTGCTGGCGCCCGCGGAGGCCCAGGGTGGGGTCGGGGTTCCCTTCCACGCTGCTCGGCCGGATAACGGTGTGCCGTACTCGGTGCCCGGCGCAGCCGAGGCGTTATTGTTAATTCTCACAGACCTGGAGTGGGTATTGGACTAATGAAACTGAAGGTTTTTCTTTAGCCCGGAAAGGTTAGGTGGCTTACCAGGGCCGCACCGACAGTACCAAAGAAATGATCATCCTTGGTATGACCCAGCAATTCCAGTCCTCCGCATTTACACCAGAGAATCGTGAAAATGTGCCCACTCAAAAGCTAGTACCTGAATGTTCACAATAACATTATCCATATAGTTAAAAAAAATGGAAGAAAACCAAGTAACAAGTGATGGATGGATAAATGAAATGTGGCATAGCCATGCAAGAGAATATTTTATCCAGCTGGGAATAACAAAAAGGTATTAGTGCATGTTGTTCCTGCAACCCAGATGAACCTTGAAAAACATGAAGCTAGGCATAAAAGACCACATAGTGTATAATTGTGTTTACATGAAATATCCAGAATAGGCAATAGATGTTTAGTTGAAGAGAAAAGGAGGAATGGGCAATGGCTACTGGCTATAGGATTTCTTATTGAAGTGATAAAAATGTTCTGGAATTAGTGGTAATAGTTACACAACATTGAATATACTAAAACTCACCAAACAGTATTTTTTTTGTTTTTGTTTTTGTGGGGATTGAGCCTGTAGTCCTGTGCATACTAATCAAGCACTCCACCACTAAGATATACCCCTAGACACTTAGCTGTAAGGTCTTTTTTTGTTGTTGGTCATGGGGCATGAACTCACCCTGGGTGCTATCCCTGAGCTCTTCAGCTCAAGGCTAGTGCTCTACCACTTGAGCCACATGCCAAGTCCAGTTTTCTGGTGGTTAATTGGAGATAAGAGTCTCACAGAAAGCCAGGAGCCAGTGGCTTATGCCTGTAATCCTGGCTACTCAGGGGGCTGAGATCTGAGGATTGAGGGCAGGAAAGTCCATGAGACTTTTGTTTTTTTGGGGGGGTTCCAGTCATGGGCCTGAACTCTGGGCCTGGGCACTGTCCCTCAGCTCTTCAGCTCAAGGCTAGTACTCTACCACTTGAGCCACAGCACCACTTCCAGCTTTTTT